GTGAAGGACAAGTTGCTGTACCACGAAAAGAGGTACAATGCCTAGTGAACCAATTTGGATTCTGGAGACAACACACCCCTCATTTGGGTGTGTTAATACTGCCACTTTATCGAGTGACCCAAAGGACTGCCAGTTTTGAGCGGGGTCCAGAACAGAAGGCTGTGCAGCAAGTCCAGGCTGCTGTGCAAGTTGCTCTGCTACTTGGGCCATATGACCCCACAGAATCAATGGTGCTTAAGGTGTCAGTGGCAGATGGGGAGGCTATCTGGAGCCTTTGGTAGTCCCCAAGGGTGAATCACAGTAGAGGCCTCTAGGGTTTTGGAGCAAGGTCCTGCCATCTTCTGTAGATAAATATTCTCCTTTTGAGATAGCTCTTGGCCTGTAACTTGGTTTTGGTAGAAACTGAATGTGTAACTATGGGTCATCAAGTCACTATGCGACCTGAACTATCATGAACTGTGCTTTCTAACCCATTTAGCTATAAAGTACGGCGTGCAGAGCAGCATTCCATTATCAAATGGAAGTGGTATATACATGATCAGGCTCTAACAGGTACTGAGGGCACAAATAAGTTCCATGAGGAAGTGGCTCAAATGCTCAGGGTCCCTATTCCTGCTACTATGCTTTCTCTCCCCCAGCCTGCACTGATGGCCTCATGGGGAGTTCCTTATGAACAGCTGACAGAAAAAGAAGAAAAGGACCTAGTTTATAGATAGCCCTGCACGATATGCAGGCACCACCTGAAAATGGACAGCCACAGCACTACAACCCCTTTCTAGGACATCTCTGAAGGGCAGTGATAAAGGGAAATCTTCCTAGTGGGTAGAACTTTGAGCAGTACACCTTGTTGTGCACTTTTCTTTGAAGGAGAAATGGCCAGATGTGCGATTATATACCGATTCACGGGCTGTAGCCAATGGTTCGGCTAGATGGTTGCAGACTTTAAAGAATCATGATTGGGAAATTGGTGACAAAGAAATCTGGGGAAGAGGTGTGTGGATGGACCTCTCTGAGTGCTTAAAAACTGAAAATATTTGTATCTCATATAAGTGCTCACCAATGGGTGACCTCAGCAGAGGAGGATTTTAATAATCAAGTGGATAGCATGACTCGTTCTGTCAACACCACTCAGCCTCTTTCCTCAGCAACCACTGTCATCGCCCATCAGGCTCATGAACAAAGTGACAATGGTGGCAGAGATGGAGATTATGCATGGGCTTTGCCACATGGACTTCTAATCACCAAGGCTTATCTGACTACAGCCACTGCTGAGAGCCCAATCTGCCAGTAACAGAGACCAACACTGAGCCCTCAATATGGCACCATTCCTCGGAATGATCTGCCAGTACTTGGTGGAAGGTTGATTACATTGGACCTCTTTCATCAAGGAAAGGGCAACAGTTTGTCCTCACTGAAATGGACACTTACTCCAGAAATGGGTTTGCCTATCCTGCATGCAATGCTTTTGCCAAGAGCAGCATGCATGGACTCACGGAATGCCTTATTTACCATCATGGTATTTCACACAGCATTGCCTCTGACCAAGGTACTCACTTTACGACTAAAGAATTGAGGCAGTGGGCTCATGTTCATGAAATTCACTGGGCTTACCAAGTTCTCCATCATCATAAAGTAGCTGGACTGATAGAACGGTGGAATGGCCTTATGAAGTCAAAATACAATGCCAACTAGATGACAATACTTTGCAGGGCTAGGGCAAAGTTCTCCAGAAGGCTGTGTATACTCTTAATCAGTGCCCAGTATATGGTACTGTTTCTCCCATAGCCAGGATTCATGGGTCCAGGACTCAAGGGGTGAAAGTCGAAGTGGCATCACTCACTATCACCCCTAATGATAAATTCTGCTTCCTGTTCCCATGACATTACGTTCTGCTGCCTAGAGATCTTAGTTCCAGAGGGGGGAATGCTGCCACCAGGAGACACAACAATGATTCCATTCAACTGGAAGATTGCCATCTGGCTGCTTTCAGCTCCTCCTACCTCTCAGCCAGCAGGCCAAGAAGAGAATTACAGTGTTGGCTATGGTGACTGACCCGGACAGACTCTCAAGATGAAATCAGTCTACTACTTCACAGTGGAGGTAAGGAAGAGCATGCAAGGAACACAGGAGATCCCTCAGGGCATCTCTTAGTATTGCCATACCCTGTGATACCAAACTACAGTGGCCCAATCCAGGGAGGACTACAAATGGCCCAGACCCTTCAGAAATGAAGGTTTAGGTCATTCCAGGTTTTTAAAAACCCACGGCCCACCAAGGTGCTTGCTGAAGGGAAAGAGGATACAAAATGGGTAGTAGAAGTAGTCATCAATACCAACTATGGTCATGTGACCAGTTGCAGGAATGAGGGCTGTACTGGTTGTATTTCCTCCTCATTTTGTTAAGAACATGTGCATGTATACACTTGTACTAAGAAAATATCTTCATTTTATTTCCTTTCTTTTTTCTTTATCATGTGAAATAAGATTTATTGACTTCATATCAGCATTTAAGTGTTGTCAACTTTATGTAATAGCATTTGGGCTGGGGACTGATGCACTGCATGAAGGACAGCTGTATTATGTTAGGCATAATTATTACCTTATTACTGTCTTTATTTGAAGATTATGTATGATTTAAGATGTGTATGGGCTCAAGTTGACAAGTGGTGGACTTCTGATGGTTAATATTGAGTGTCAACTTGATTCAATTGAAGGATACAAAGTGTTGTTCTTGAGTGTGTCTGTGAGGGTGTTGCCAAAGGGGATTAACACTTGAGTCAGTGGACTAGGAGATGTAGACCCACTCTCAATCTGGGTGGGCACCATCTAATCAGCTGTCAGCTCAGCTAGGATAAAAGCAGGCTAAAGTCACTTCCTCTTTCTCCTGTGCTGGATGCTTCCTGCCCTTGAACATCAAACTCCAAATTCTTCAGCTTTTGGACTCTTGGACCTACATCAGTGGTTTGACAGGGGCTCTCGGGCCTTTGGCCACAGACTGAATGCTGCACTGTCGGCATCCCTACGTTCTGGGATTCGGACTGCTTCCTTGCTCCTCAGCCTGCCGACATTCTATTACGGGACTTCACCTTTTGATCATGTGAATCAATTCTCCTTAATAAACTCCTTTTCATATATACATCTATCATATTAGTCCTGTCCTAGAGAACCCTGACTAATACAGTGGGCTTAAAATATTCAGTAAACTATGCTGTAAACAGATGTACTGTCACCCAGGCTTTGTTGTTCTACCTATAGAGCACAGGCACAGTGTATTTAGTGTAATCTTTACAGGTCCTAGAATTTTTGGCATGGTAAATGAGCACTGGATTCAAGTTAAAGTCATTAGCTGCATTAGTCCATAGCAGAGAGTAAGCTTGTCCTTTGAAGATTTGAAGTCAGGCATTGACTTTACTCTAGCAATGAAAGTCCTAGATGGCATCCTCTTTCAACAGAAGACTGTTTCATGTGCTGATACATTGAAAATCTGTTGTCTGGTGTAGCGACCTTCATCAATTATCTCAGCTAGATCTTCTGGACAGCCTGCTACGGCTTCTATATCAGCACTTGCTGGTTCACCTCGCACTTTCATGTTATGGAGAGAGCTTTCTTTAAATCTCATGAACCAATCTCTGCCAGCTTCCAACTTCTCTCCTGCAGCTTCCTCTTAGCCTTCAAATAATTAGAGACCTAGGCCCTTGCTCTAGATTAGGTTTTGGCTTAATCAAATGTCACGGCTGGTTTGGTCTTCTACCTAGGCCACTGAAACTTTCTCCCTATCAGCAATAAGCCTGTTTTGCTTTATCATTCATGTATTCACTGAAGTAGCACTTTTAATTTTCTTCAAGAACTTCTCCTTTGCTTACAAAATGTGATGCATTGTGCAGAAACTGTTTAATGCAATAGGAGTAGCTTTTGGTCCATCTTGACTTTCAACATATCTTTCTAAGCTTAGTGGTTTATAGCTTTTGATTTAAAATAAGAGGTATGGCCGGGCATGGTGGTTCATGCCTGTAACCCTAGCACCACGGGAGGCTGAGGCAGGCGGATCACGAGGTCAGGAGTTTGAGACCAGCCTTATCAACACAGTGAAACCTTCCCTCTGCTGAAAATACAAAAAAATTAGCTGGGCACAGTGGTGCACGCCTGTACTCCCTGCTACTCAGGAAGCTGAGGCAGGAGAGTAGCTTGAACCCAAGAGGAGGAGGTTGGAGTGAGCCAAGATTGTGCCACTGCATTCCAGCCTGGTTGACAGAGTTAGACTCCATCTCAAAAATAAATAAATAAAAATAAAAATGAAATAAAACAAAATAAGAGGCATGTGACTCTTCCTCTCACTCAAACACTGAGGCCACTATAAGGTTCTTAATAGGCCTGACTTTAATACTGTTGTATTTCAGGGAAGAAGAGGGCCTGAGATGGGAAAATGACTGGTGGGTGGAACTGTCAGAATACACATATTTTATCTTCTCATACGGAAGTGGTTCGTGGTACCCCAAAACAATTATAATCATAACATCAAGGATCACCATAACAGATACAGTAGTAATACTAAAAAAGTTTGAAATATTGTGAGAATTACTGAACTGTAACACAGAAACATGAAGTGACCATGCTATAGGGAAAATGGTGCAAACAGACTTGTTCAATGCAGGGTTGCCACACACCTTCATTTTGTAAAAAATGCAAAATCTACAAAGTGCAATAAAGCGAAGCATAATAAAATAAGGTTTGCCCCTCTAGACCCAGTACTCAATAAAATGCTATCAAAAAGAATCCAGTAACATATTAAAAAGCATTATATACCATGAACAAGAAGGATTTATGTCAAGAATTCCAGGTTGGTTTAACATACAAAAATCAATCCACCCTGGCCAAGCATAGTAGCTCAAGCCTGTAATCCCAGCACTTGGGGATGGTAAGGTGGGCGGATTGCTTGAGCCCAGGACTTTGAGACCAGCCTGGGCAGCATGGTGAAACTCTGACTATATAAAAAATACAAACCTTTAGCTAGGCATTCGTGATGGCTGGCGCCTGTTGTCCTAGCTACTTGGGAAGCTGAGGTGGGAGGATCACTTGAGCCCAGTTGGGCAAGGCTGCAATGAACCATGACTGCACCACTGCACCCCAGCCTGGGTGACAAAGCAAGACCCTGTCTCAAAACAAAACAAAACAAAACAATAACAACAAAAAAACCAATCAATCCAAGTAATTCAGCATGTTAACAAACAGGATACAGAACAAAAGCTATGTAATCTCCATATATGTAGGAAAAAATCCCTGACAAAATAAAATTTTCTTTCATGGCAAAAACAGTGAACAGGCTAGGAAGAGAAGAAAATGTCCTTAATCTTATAAAAGATATCTGTAAAAAATCCACAGGAAACATCATACTTAATGGTGAAAGGCTAAAAGCTTTCCCCCAGAATGCTTTGTCAAGAACAAAACAAGGATACATGCTCTTGTTACTTCTATTCAACACTATACTGAAGTGTTCTAGCCAAAACAATAAAGCAAGAAAAATAAATAAAACACATCCGGATTGGCAAGGAAGAAGCAAAACTCTCTTTTTATATAAATCACATAATTTTGTGATATGTAAATTTAATTTAGATTACCACTGTATAATCTTGTATATTTGCATATAATCTTATATACATAATTCTAAGGAATCTATATACAAATATTAAGAGCTAATAATCAAGTTCACAAGGTTACAAGATAATAAATATACAAAAATGAATTTTATTTCTAACCAATAGAACGAAACAATTCCAAAATGCAATTTAAAAAATCACATTTACAATGGCATCACAAAGAATGAAATATTTATAAAAAATAAACTTGGAAAAGTAGAAGAGTTGTACACTGAAAACCACAAACATAATGAAGACTTAATAGGAACATGTCCTCTGTTCACAAACTGAAAAACTTAATATTGTTAAGATGGTAATACTCCCCAAATTGGATCAACAGGTTCAACACAATCCCCATCTAAATTCCAGATGGCAGTTTTATAGAAACTGGCAAGCTGATCCTAAAATTCACATGAAAATGCAAGGGACCTTGAATAGCCAAAATAATCTTGAAAGAGAACAAAATCGGAGGATTGGCACTTCCTAATTTCAAAGCTTACTGTAAACACAATAGTCAAGACTAGGTGTTACTGGATAGACATGTAGAACAATGGAAAAGAATTCAGTCCACAGTTTATTTTTGATGAGTACCAAAGCAACTCAATGGGAGAAAGAATAATATTTTCAACAAATTATACTGGGGTGACTGGATATATCAATGCAAAATATGAAGCTGAACCTCTACCCCACACTATATATAAAAACTCACAGTGGATCTTTGATATAAATATAGGAGTATATTAACTCAAAGTGGATCAAAGATCTAAATATAGGAGACAAAATTATAAAACTCTTAGAAGACATGTGTAAATCTTATGACCTTGGATAGGCTATGATTTCTTAGATATGACACTAAAAGCACAAACAAGAACAAAATGGATACACAGAACTTCATGAAAATTAAAAATTTTAAGCTTCAAAGAACACTATCAGGCAACAAAGACAGTCCACACAATGTGAAAAAAATATTTCTAAACCATATGTCTTAGTAGGGTCCAATATTCACCATATATGAAGAACTCTCACAATTCAACAAAGACATGCTAAATTGTAAAAATAGGTAAATGATCTGAATAGACATGTCTACAAAGATGATGTTACTAATGGCTTATAAGTATATGACAAGATGTTTAGCATGATTAGTCACTAGGAAAATGAAAATCAAAACACTGAGATACTATTTCATAACCAGTAAGATTACTATAATAAAAAATGAATGTAGATAATAACAAGAGTTGTGGAGGATGTGAAAAAACTGGATTTATTGCATTTGGCAATGCAAAATGCTATAGCTACTTTGGAAAACAGATCAGCTGTTCCTCAAAAACGTAAATATAACACAGAGGAAGTGGTGAATACATGCAGCCCTAGCTACTCAGGAGACTCAGGCAGGAAAACTGCTTGAGCCCAGGTGTTGGTCCAGCCTGAGCAACATAGTGAGACTCCATTTCCATACACAAACACAAAGTAAAGAGTTTTCTACTGTTAAATTGCACAAGCCCAAAACTTCAATACAGTGTTAAATAGCAGGGAAAGAGGAGGATAATGTTTCGTTCCAATTTTAGTTAGAATGCTGCTGGTGTTTCCACATTAAGTATTATGCTGGATTTAAACCTAGGATATATGTGTTTTACATTAAAAAAAAAACATCAATTCCTGTTTTCCGGAATATTCATTTTTTGTTCCTCTTTAGATTAACAAGTAAATAATATCAAATGATTTCCTAAAATTGAACCACTTTTGCATTACTGGAATAAATGCCATGACTGTCATATATCATTTTCTTAATGTAGCATAAGATTCTGTTTGATGCTTTTGTATACTGATATACGTGAAATTGTTCTGTAGTTGTATGTATGTACCTTTGGTATGATCTTCACATAATTTTTATCTAGATTAATACCATACTCAAAAATAATTTGAAAACTGTCTTCTTCCATGTTCTGGAAAAATTTATAAAGCATTGAGATGACCTGATCTTAAAAGTTTTGGTAGAATATTCCTTTGAAATCTTCTGAGCTTAGTGCTTTTACTGAGCTTTCTTGATGCCTTTTCATATTTCTTTAGAAAAAAATGATGGTGAAACTTTTCTACTTCTTCTGGGACAATTTAACAAACCGGATTTTCTAAGGAAACAACCCATTTCACCTAAGTTGTGCAAAATAAAATCTTAGCATTTTTAAAATTATCTGTTTCAATAGTTATTCTCCCCCTGCCATGTCTTACATTTTAATACTTTCTCTGTTATCCCCTTCTCTTCCTCCCATTCCTACCCCTACCAATTAGGTTAACCAGTGATCTGTCTACTTCGTTGACTTTTTCAAAGAACCAATTTTTTTTTTAACTTACTTTTTAGTACTATTGTTTTTGTCTTCAACCTCATTAATTTTTTGCTTTAATCTTTATTATTTCCTTCCTTGTTCTTTATTCTTATTTGTGATTTTTCCTAGCTTTCTTTTGATGAAAATGTAACTTATTTTTTCTTTAATTTATGGCTGTAAACACATAAGGCTGTTGAGTCTTTAGAAATTCTGAAACTTTACTTTCTTCACTTTACCTCTAAAGTTGTTTAAAAGAGCATTTACATTGCAGGTAAATAAGATTTTTTAAATGTTTTGTTATTCATGTCCATCTTTATTGCATTATAATAAAATTTTTTTGGTATTATTTCTACTTTATGGAACTTAGTTTTTGACTTAATACACAAAATTTTTTTGTGAATATTCTATGTATACTTGGGAAGAAATTACATTTCATGTTATTTGAGAATCGAGTTCAATATATATTCATAAAATATCCCTGGCTGTGCTTTCAGGTCTTTTATATCCTTACTTATTTTAGATTCACTTCACTTATCTTGGACTAAAAATGATGTGCTAATTCTGTGTATTTGTCCTTCTAAATTCTCTGTAGTTTCTGTCTAGAAAAATGGTTGCTAATGTTATCTGATACACAGATACTAGCAGATGTTACATCTACATTATGATTTATGGTCTTTAACACTATGAAGTAGCCCTTTTCCTCCCTAATTTTTACCCTAGCTCACATTAGAATTGATCTTGGCTTTCTTTATTGTTTTCGTTTGCTGTCCATACCTTTTCTCACTCCTTTTAGTCTTTTAAAATTATTTTATTTTCTTCTGAATATATACAGCTCAAACCCGAGTCTTGCTTCATGAACCATTCTGGCCATCTGTTTAATAGGTGAGTTCAGTGTTTTTACATGTCCTACAATGACTCAGATATTAGTGTCAGCTTACAGAATTTTTTATTTTTCTTTCTTCATGTGGTCCATTTTTTTTGCTTTGTAAAATTTTTCAGTATTTAAGATAGTTTGTCTTTTTATTGATTACTAGTTTTACCTACTACTTCTTATGATGTCATTAGTTCCCCTTTTCCTTAGTTAGGTTGTTTGGTATTCAGGTTTCAAACGATACCTTTGATTCCTACATAATACCTATGTGACACTCAATGAATTTTTCCTACTTCATTTCCCACTCTTCTCAACCTTCACTCTGCTTTAGCCTTAGATAAAATATGGCCAATGCTCACAATTACTCCTTTTGCCATTTATTAATTGCATGAAATGTTCCATTGCGTATGAGGGTGGGCAAGTAGGGGAACATATGTGGCCCATCATCTTTTGTAGATAAAGTTTTACTGAAACACACCCACACTAATTCATTAATATGCTGCCTATGGATATTTTTGTTATAATGGCAGATATGGAAAACTGTCATAGAGACCATATTGCCTGCAAAATCTACAATATTTACTCTCTATGTCCTTTACAGAAAATGTTTGCTGACTACAGCTCCAGTAGATTATTCCAGTAGTGCTTTAAATACAGTATTTCTTTAGGTTTTGCATGTTTAATTATGTTTTGACCACTGTCATACATGAAATACAACTTGACACAAAAGTTTCACTTATTCTTTAACTTCTTTGAAAATGTTGCTCTGGGGTTGTCTTTCTTTAAATGTTCTTGTTGAGAATTTTGATTCATCTGATTTTTATCTTTGTGACTTAGTATTTTTGTCTTGAGGTCCACTGGGTTTTCCCTTTCTTAAAATTATCATAGTTTTACCAGGATGTCTCAAGGTTTGCTTCTGTGTCAATTATCCCAGGTACATAGTGACCTATATAGTTTCAAATATATTTCTGGAAAGTTTTCTCAAATTATAGTTTCAATATGTTCCACTATTTTGTTTTATTCTTTGGAGCTCCAATTATACCTGTATTGGATTTTTTGTTGTTCGATCATTGTTTTACCAACAACTTTTTTTCTTTACCTTTTCTACAATTTTATCTCATTTTCATTCTCTTTGCCATTTTCATAGCTTTCTCCAAAGACTCTTATATTCTTAGTCAAATCTGTTCTCCTTTGAAATTAAGCCTTTATTTTTAAGAGGATTTCTTTTTCTAAAATTGTATTGCTAAGTTAAGTTTCAGTTCCCATCTTCCTTTTTATCTATTTCTTTTTGAATGTTCAGATTTTTTATCAGGTGTTTTATCATATCTGTCAATGCTTCTTTTAAGAATACACAATTCACTTTGAAGTGTTATGATGTATCATTCTTCTGTTTTTCTACTTGTTTTGTTTTTAGATAGAATTTCTAATGTCCTACATTCTATTCATTTTGAATTACTTTATATTCCCAAACCAGCAATTACTATACATAAAAAACTGCTGTATACAGAGAGAATCTGGATGAAAAGAATCCTTATACTAGTATAGTATATTTTCTTTAATTAGTAGTGCATTTTGAATGGTAGAATGGAACGAAGGGTTGATGTGCTTTCAGTTTTGTGATTCTCTTTTGTTTCTACAGGACCCTTAATTTCTTCCATTTATTAACAAGATTCTAAGTAATATTCCTTCTAAGTCACCCTTGTCTTCTTCAGAAATGGTACCTTGCCAAGACTGCTACCTCTGGTCCTGTGATTTTAAGGCTCTTCTTTTTTATTTCCTAGTATCAAGTACTCAGACTTCAGGGATTTTTCATGGAGTACAGGGATTTTTAGGGAAGTGATATATTATGATGATACTGTAATGAAGGATACATGACCAGGTATTTGGCAAACCTATAGAACTGTAAAACATATGCAAAACGATCCTAATGTAAACTACGAACTTTAGTTAACAATAATATATCAATATTTGTTCACCAGTTGTAACAAATGAAACACACCAATGAAAGGTGTTACTGGGGAAACTGAGCAGGTGTGGGAGAGTGATTATCTGGGAATTCTTTACTTCCTGTTTAGTTCTTCTATAAATCTAAATCTGTTCTATTAATTGAAAATTAAAACAAAACAAAAAATTGAATTAAGTGAAAATCTATTATTTGACTTCATGTTTTTTCCTTTAAAAAGCATTCAGTAGATGGCACCAGTAGCACTATCATAGCACATTGCAGCCTTGAACCCCAGAGATCTTTTGAAATAAGAAATCACTAGATGCACTGTATAATTCATAATGCTTAGTTTTGATGTTGATACATGCTCTTGAGATCCTATTTATTCATTAATGAATAATATAATTGATGCTCTGAGAAAGGTGTGTTGAAGACAAATTTAGCTGCAAGTTTTATCACTGAGTAAGTAAATAATCATGGAAATGTAGGAATACGGATCTGCAGAATTATGGAGCAAGAATAATTTTACATTATGGGTACATTTTTAAACTCCAACTCACATTTTGACAACTACATAGCACCTTCATTTTGCACTTCTTTACTACTAGTGAGTATCTCATTAGTAAAACTGTTTTTCTCCACAGATTAAAAGCATTCATGAAACATAGTATCAAGGTATTTTAAAATATATTTTCTCCTCAGGCCAGGACAGAATAAAGTATTAAGTCTTTCTTAAAAACAGAGGGTGAAAACTAATTACCCACTATGTAACTAACTGCCCACTCACTGGCATTCAAACTGACATACTCAATATGCAGTTTCATAGAGAACAAATCAAGCAGTCCTGACTAAAAAAA